GCCCTCTCACCTCATTCTGAATGATGTGTTGTTCCAAGTAAAAGATGGCTCCTATGACATGATATTGATAAATAAAGGGGTAAATTGTTTGGCAACTCAGTTTGCTTTGAGTCATATTATAAGAAGAGAAAAAGACATTTTTCATTCCTCCCTCCCTCTTTCTGTTCCTTCCTTTGTTTCTTGTATTCATTCATTCATTCATTCATTCATTCAGTTGTATCTCTGAGCCCTCACCCTATATCAGACACTATGTTAGAAATTAGAGATATAAAGGTGAACAAGACAGATCAGACTTCACCCTTCAAGAGGCTCACATTCCACTAGGATGTGACAGAAGGAAGTTAATTTTACTGGAATAAAGCAGACATACTGACTAATGGAACAGCATAAAGAGCCCAGAAATAAGCCCATGAATTTATGGTCAATTGCTTTTTGACAAAAGTTACAAGAACACACAATGGAGAAATGATAGTCTTTTCAATCAATAGTGTTAGTGAAACTGGACAGCCAAGAGGGGAAGAAAGAATAAAGCTGGATTCTTACACCATATATAAAAATCTACTCTAAATTGACTAAAGGTTTGAGCCTAAGACCTGAAACTATAAAAGTACTAGAAGAAAACAAGGGTAAAGTGCTTCATAGCATTTATCTGGGCAAATGTTTCTTGGATATGACTCCAAAAGGCAAAAGCACAGCCAACAAAAGCAAAAATTAACCAATAGGATTGCACCGAACCAAGAATCTTCTGCATAGGAAAGGAAGCAGTAAACAGAGTGAACAGACGACCCACTGAATAACTGCAAAACATATCTCAGATAAGGGGCTAATATTCAAAATAAATAAGGAACTCAACCAATTAAATAGAAAACAAAAACAAAGAATACAACCAAAAAATGGGTAAAATACCTAATTAAAAGTCCTCAAAACAAGACATGAAAATGGTTGACAGATAAATAAAAAATGTTTATCACCAATAATCATCACAGAAATCAAACTAAAACCACAAGGAGATACCACCATCTCATCCCATTGCAATGGCTATGATCAAAAACTAAAAGAGAAGTGTTGGCAAGAGGGTGGAGGAAAGGAAACCCTTATATACTGTTGTTGAGGATGTAAGTGAGTGCAGCCAATATGGAAAACAGTGGGGAAGTTCCTTAGAAAACTGAAAATAGAATTGGTATATGATCAAGCAATCTCAGTACTGGGTATATTTCCAAATGAATTCCTTACGTCAAAGAGACATCTGCATCCTCATATTCATTGCAGCATTATTTATAATACCTAAGTAATGGAAGCAACCTAGATGTCATCATTTGATGAATGGAGAGAGAAAATGTAGTATGTATACACAGTTGATTATCAGCCTGCCTTTTAAAAAGTGTGAGACTCTGGGACTGTCACCAAAAAAAATGAATTTGTAGAAACAGAATAGAACAGATTGATATTTTCCAGAGGCTGGGTGGAAGGGGAAAAGGTAGATGTTGGTCATACGATGTAAAATTTCATGCAAGAGAACTAAGATTTAGTGATCTATTGCACAGATCAGTGACTGCAATAATGTATAATGCTTTGTGTATTTTAAAATCACTAAAAAAGTGGCTTTTAAATATTTTTACCACAAAAAACACGTATTTGAGTTGATAAAGTTGTTGGTTAGCTTGAATTAGTCCACATAACTGATTATAAATATATATCATAGTTAATATGATTGGTATTGTTAACATATATCAAAACATTACATTGTACCTCATAGATACAAATAATTTTGGCTTGTCAATTAGCAAAAATAATAAATTTAATCATAATTCATGTAATTGTTATGAATTAAATAGGAAAACATGACAAAGAGTAAGTAATACTAATGGAAACTTCTTTAATAGAATAATTTAAGAAAGCTAAAACTTGAAGAATAAGAATGAACCAGTCATTTGGAAATCTGGAGGATGGACATCTCAAGCCATGGGTCTGGCAAGAGCAATGGAACTTGAAGACAGGGACGGGTTCCAAGTGATGGAGAAGTGGTTGGTCCTGGGATGTAGCATGTGCCTCACCACCTAGAGGCCTTTGTTGCAACTCAGATTTCTAATCCCAGCCTAGGTCAGGAGACCTGGGTGGGGCCTGAACATGTGCTCTTGTCACAAGCTTCCAGGTGATGTAGATGTGGTAACCCCTGAGCACCAATGTGCTAGAGAGGAACCAAAATGAGAAAGGGTTGGCAGTGTGCTATGAGCTGGGAGCAGGTAGTAACAAGCAAGGCAGGGGCCTATGACCACAAGCTTCAAAGAGGTATGTGGTTAATCCCAGAATGACAAGAAGTCATTGAAGGTCCTGATCATCCCCATGATATCCTTCTTGTTCTCGGATGGTTACAGTACAGTCCGTCTTGGAGGATTGTCTAAATCTCTATGTTGTCCACCCCTGAGTATATCTGGGAACAAATTTGGAGAAATTTGGAAATAACCTATCATTCCCTCTATATTTGATTTCTGACCAATCTCTGACAAATGATAAAGACTTGCTTCTGCTCCTACATTTAGGTTTTGGAAGTATGACATAAGGGCTATCAGGGATGGCTACAGTTCTGATCAGCCACACATGAACTGAAACACTTGTCTCTGATCTAAGCAAAGCATATTACATGATTTCTAAGAGCAAACTGCAAACTTTTGGTGATAAACAGTAAAAACATGAAACAATTAGAGGATTATCTAAGCAGAGGATGGTGCAATGTGTAATAAAGGGCTAAATTGAACATTATCATATGCAAAACTTAATGATGCAGATAATAAGTGCTGTGACCATTAAGAAGGGGGAGTTTGAAGTTACTTGGGAATGTTTTTTTCTGGGGCAGGTGCTTAGGCTGGTTCTTGGAAAATGGTTCAAATATGGCAGTTAGAGGGGAGGGAAGAGGTTTGGAAAAGCCTTTGTCTTCAATCAACATGCAAAGAATTACTGTGCCTCCCTGAAGTTTTTGCTGCTCTGCTGCCTTTCAAGGGAAAGTTTTCCATGTGTTTCTAATTCTTGAGTACAATTGAATTACCAGTCCATTGTCTGGTGAGAGCTGTTTGGTCAGGGAGCCCTGTGGACTTCTCAGAAGCTTTTATCCTTTGAAAAAAGCTGTCCTGATTTGCCATTGTTAATGAAACTTGTATGACACAATGCTTGAGTTTAAGGCCCACTGAGAACATGACCGTGTTCTTCCTTTCATCTCGACATGGGGGAACCACATGGCAAATAGAAGCTGCAGAAACCCAGCAGCAGTGTTGTTCCCCTAGTGGTAGTAATTGTCCTGAACTTTCTTATGTCATATCCTAATAGCTTTGTCTTCTGACTGATGGCCTACACAGCGTCCACCCTTCATGAATAAATACAAAATGTTTTGCCACCCAGAAGGTGAACCCTTTGTAGTCCTGTATCTCTTTTGAGCATGCATCCTTAGGATCCCACATGATTACGTTTTAATATTCTGTCCCTGTGCAAGGCTTAGCTTGAAGATTGCTAACTATGCAGTTATTGCAATGGATATATATATATATATATATTTAACTCTGCTAAGTGCTTTTATGTATTAGTTCCTGACTAATACATTTGATGAGTCAAGGGGCTCACCTCCTTGGCTGAGGCTTTCTGGGAAATCCACGGCATTATCCCACATATTGAGATATTTTTGATTAGGGTAGATATTTCCAAAGGAATAGGTTTATTTTTAATCCCAAGGTTAAATCAGAAATTGGTATTTAAAAAAAAAGAGAATGATTGAAGAGAGGTGCCAAATGGACCTAAGGGGGATTTTAATGGCAATCTACAGGGTAGAGAAAGCCAAAACTTTTTTTTTCTCCCGTCAGTAAGATTCAGAGAATGCTTCCAGAATAAGTATATTTATTTATAAGTTATGCATATGTACTATTATGCTTATGCATTATTAGCATGCAAAAGACACAGAAAATTGAAATAGTAAAGAATTGAAAATTAGCACAAGATTTAATATTTTATTCCTATATGCAAATGATTCTCTTTTGTATCCTCTGGTGAATGCACACTCCATTTAAGAGGACACACCTCTCAAATACCAAAGTAGCAGCATGGAGTAGTATAATGGTTCTCAAATTTTAGGTTGTGTCAGAATTTCCTGGAAGCTTATGAAAACAGTTTTCTGTCTCTGCCTCAAAGTTTCTAATTCAATAGGAAAGGGGCCCAAGAACTTGCATTTCTAACAAATTCCCAGGTAATGGTGTCCTGAGGATTAAATCTTGAGAACCACTGTATAGTTAAGAGTTTGGTCTCAAAGTCAGTTTCCTAAGTTGGACAGAGAGCAGCATTCTTGAAAAAATATGTGGCCTTGGGAAAATTATTTTCTCTCTGAATTTTTTTTTAATCTGTAGAATGAAGGCAATCATAATTATACTCCTCTTAGAGTCACTAGAGATCTTAATGAGGTAATGTAGATAAATTGCATAGCACTCAGTGCAGATCACCTACAAAACAACAAGCTGCGTTAGGTTCTCTCTCCTCCTTTTCCTCCTCCTCATTATCATTATCATCATCATGAACACCTTTCTAATGCCACTAAGTAGAGTTAGGGACTTTGAGTTGCAGGATAAAAATGTTGTGCCTTTTTTCACTACAATTATGAAAATGCATTTTTCCACCTCAGCATTATGCATAAAGAAAGACCACGCTCTAAGAGAGACATCTTTTGAGTTGAATGGTAGAGATGAAGCTCTTTTGCAAAGTCTGCCTAATGGAGAACAGTGTGTTCAGCCCTCTCCCTTCTATGTGTAATTGTTGATAGTTTGTGGCTAAGTGTGTATTTCTGTCATCTTTCGTATGTACCGAATTCTTGTTGCATGTAATTCAGTTGACAATTTTGGTGGTTGTGATTTTGAATGTTTGGGGGGCATGAGAATGGTAAGTTCAGGTGAGCTCTTTGGAATTTGACTAACGTTGAATGTTGCTTCTCTCTCTTCTCTCTTCTTCCTCTTCTTGTTCGTTGCTAGGACCCAGTACCACCTGCCAGGAAGATTCCTGTGCCAACCAGGGGGTTTGCATGCAGCAGTGGGAAGGCTTCACCTGCGACTGCTCCATGACGTCCTATTCTGGAAACCAGTGCAATGATCGTGAGTACAATCTTTTCTTACTGGGAAATTGTTCAAGAGGTTCAGAGGTTTGCAGAAACCTTAAGAGACAATGCATAAAGAAATAGCTTTGCTAAAGGACTCATAAATAATTCTCTCCTCTAGAAACGTGCAAAACGAACAACAACTGTTCTCATGGGAAGAGCAAAGGAGACATTTCTTGCTCAATGCTGGCTGTTCTCCGTATTCTTCCCCTCTGCTTTTCCTTTAGGTTTCAATACTTGTGACTGAGAAGCAAAGGAACAATTAAGGGCACATGGTTATGTAAAGGGTTCAAATCTCCATGAATTAAGTCATCTGGATAACATTTTTGAGACCCTCTCTATTTGCATTGCCTAGAATTTGGAGGATATTTAAGAATGATAGTTGTTTTCTCAAAAATTCTTAAGTTAGAGGACTTCTTAAGGTCTCCTAAATGAAGAAGACTTACAGAGTTTTTTTTTCTATTTAGAAACTTTTATAGCATTTTGGGAGTGTCTTTCAAATGTAAGACAGAAATTTCTACTAGCTAAACTAAACTTATTGGTATCTTTGTTTATATATACATCACTATTCTGTTTGTATTTCTATTTGTGAGTGTGTTCCAGGTATTTACCTGTGTATTTGTGGAAGAGAGTCTGGTGATGATTATTCCTGCACATTAGTGATGCTTTGGGTGCATCTGTTGATTTAGTCTTGAGAGGATTGATTTCATGGGGGTGATTCTAGCTCTGATGATGGAGAGACTTCAGTGCTGTGGGAATCTATAACCTGAGTCTCTATTTCCTTCCCACATTATTTTCCTATCATGGTTATTTTAAAGACAAGCAAACACAATTTGTTGAAGACTCCTGGGTCCTGCTGATTTTCTAAATGCAGACTTCATGGTAGATATTTTGTCTTTCAATCCAAACTCATTTGACTTCTTCATTTTGTAAAAAGGCTGCATGATGTTATTAGAGCAAGTAAGGAAGTTAGAGAATAGTGTGTCCACATGGGAGCAAGTGCCAATTACAATGCTATGTCTCTCATGTGTATTTTTTTTCCCTGAACCTTAAATCCCAAACTTTTTTTTGTATGTGTGTAGGTGTCTCTTGTAGTTCTAGTTTCCATTTTCCTCAGTAGTTTTTCACTCCATATGTTCTTTCATTCTCTTAAGATACATTAAAAAGAAACAAATGGGGAAACTGGCAGTCTAGAAAGAAAACTATGTGATACCCATTCATCTAAATAGAAGCATATGCCTCCATATCTGTCATGCAAATGGTACAATGCCCGCAGAAGGGGTTGGCATCAGATTGCTCTTGCCAAGTAGCTTGGTGTTACTGAAAATCTCGTTTCCATATTTATGACTCAGAAATACTGTTCCACTCTGAAACAGGCAATTATGGACCAATCCAGGTTACCCGGGGACTCATGCTATATGCTCTTTCCTTTCCCTCCAATTTGTCTGCATGAGACGTGCTAGGAAGGCACTTTCCCTCTAACTGGTGACATCATACTTCTTTATCCTCACAAGGTTGTTCCTTATCACACATATACCCCATTGTGGGTAAAAAAAAAAAAAATGGTCAGGAAGAGACTCTGCACACAAAAAAAGCAGAAAGGTAAGTCACCAACTGCAGCAAATGTGCACAATCTTCAGAAGGTAAGTATGTATTTTTCTATTATTGACAAGCTCCTCTGATACTCAGAGCCAGGTGTTTTCTGGTAAAATTCGACCAGTGTTCTTCCCAGCTTTCAATGATGACTTCTGATTTTTGTCAAGAGCAGATTGTGTCTCCATTGAGGATGTGGACTACTGCATTATCTGACTCTGGCAATTATTTTTGGTATAAAATGAAGTACTTGGAGGAGGATTGGAAAAATGTCAGCTTTCCTTTGTGACACTAGCTTCTCATGCTTCAAAAATATCAGATATCCAGGCTTAGAGCAATGCATTTTGGACATTATTCTCTAAGCAATGTAGACAGGTCTTTTGTTTTGTAACAGCACAAAATGCTATCAGAATCTGCTTACTTGATCCTCTCCTGGAGAGTATGCCAGGGCTTCTGTTATTGGATGGTGATCACTGAAATGGAAGAAGCACATTTTAATTTCTAGAATGTAATAAATTTATAGAATTCAGATATGTAGGAAGTGACTCTCAAGTTAAGATATGAATTTTTAACAAAAATCAACTAGATATACTTAAATGATAGGCTATTGAAAATTGTTACAATGGCTGGTCCCTATAGATGATTGGCATTCAAGGTATTTGGAGGGAGCTTCTCTTTGGGAATTAGCATCAAAGTCACTTCATTCCACATAGAATATCAGTCTCACTACTTTACATCATAGATTATTATTTTCTATATTGACCTTTAGCATTGTAATTTGACATTTAATCTCACACATATCTTCAAAAATAAAGTTACTTCTCTAATATTCTGTGCATTCAACTATACTAATAAGTTCTTGGTAGTTTAGTCTGCATAAGGGATCAAGTATTAATCTTCAGCATCACTAGCAGAGTTGAACAGGCTCATGCTTAGCATTAGAAAAAGCATAAGGGTAATTATATATAAAGGAGAAGGGATGAAATCAGTTCATGGAAGGGAACAGGGAGCAAGGAGAAAGGATCCTCAATAGAGAGGGTCAGAGACTGACTCTTATGTGGAAGTAGTGCCATAGAGCCCACTAATGATTGCTTTGGTACCCTACATGCCTTAAGTGCCTTAAGTGGCTTTCCTTTTACTAAATAACACATGCCATCAATGGAATCTAGTCTTGACTTCATTCTTGAAAAGAAATATTTGGAGAACATTGCATATATCTAAAATAAGAAGGATTTTATAAAATGTCATAAGACCATCTGAATTGGTTAAGATGAAATCTAATGGCAAGGACATTTTTTGGAAAAAAAAAGTTTTGAATCTCTCATTATCTATGAAGCCATTTCTCAGGGAAGCAGACTGACTCTCAAATAAAGGAAATGAAAACATGTCAGTTTATTACTGCGCATCCAAGAATAGGGGATATCCAATAGGGGAATGACTAGGTTTTGTATTTTCAAAATAGGTATTTATTTCATCATGTGTAAAAAAAAAAATGTTAATTGCACCTGGTGTAACTTGTAAGACTCTGAAGAAGTGTGTGGGCATTTTAGAGTCTCCCTCACTTACTCTGGTGTGGGTTTGATCACTCGTGACCTTTGCTTTTTTCTTGCTTATCAAATCTAGAGTTTGCTTGATAATTTTAAGATGCTATCCCATAGATGGTGTCTCCAGCAGAAGCAGGTATCTTTTAAAACTTCATTTCACTTAGTATGAGTAAGCCACAGATGACTTTCTCTTCATTCCATTTTATTCTATCATTCTTTGTGTGAGTAGGTTGGGTTGACGGATTCTGCCAGGTGGATTTCAAGTTCACACTTATGAAGCTGTGATGGTTTTGAAGGTGTGACACATTTTCTCGGGAGCCGATCACTTTGTGTAACAGTGACTCACGTGTGTGGGTTAGAAAATAAATATCATCGGATTAGAAACCTAAGTATAATTGACTTACTAATAGCTTTACATATTTTAGATATGACTGTCCACCCTTTTATGTAATGGTAAAACCATGAGGAGTTTCTTTTTCATGAGGTTAACTTTTAGGGGTGTTTTGATGCTACCATGGACTTCATCATCCCAGAGGCAATTTTGAGTTAACGTAGGTCTCAATAACATCTATGGAAGGACACGTAAGTTACATTCTCCAATGGTAATTTTCAGTTCTTCTGAAAAATTCAAAAGAAAGGGTCTAGCTTCTCAGTGGGTGAGCACTACCTGAAAGCCAAACTAATGGTGTGTGTGTGTGTGGGAGGGGGCTACCTTTGAAGAACAACAAAACAAATAGAACTTTATAAGAGTTATTATGAGGATATTCTTTCTGGATATCAGATTCTTATTGGTATTTTAAACCGGGACTGAGAACTGTAGAAATTCCATATTATGGTACCCACCATCAGAAGAAGCCAGAATCTCTTCTCCATGCTGTGCGACAATGCCACTCTCACTGGCAGCCTGTTGTTGAGTTCTTCTTTCCACAGTATTGAAAAGTATTGCACAAAATCCTTCTGTGCTGCATGCATCCACTCATACCCAAAGTGTTATCCCTTTTTAGGGACTTTCTGAAAATATGAGTTTTAAACAACACATAATGATCCAATAAGAGAGCTTATCCTAAACTATTCATAACAACTGCTCTGAGTTGCCTATAATTTGCTGATCTCATTATTGCTTTTGTGTTTGGGAGAAGCACATGTCTACAGGAATGACCGATGGCACATGAATGCTTAACACATGTCAGGTTTCTGTGTTTATGAGTCCAGTGTTGATTTTGGCTTTGTTGAATGAGGATGAGGGAATATATGTGGGTCCTTGGACCACCATCAGCAGACAGCTGTCCTGTGCTACCTTGCTAGTAGTGCATTGCAGGCTACATGTTGGAGAAATTGCTGGGCTCACACTGGCATGTGATAATAGATGTTCTTTGCTTGCAACAAATCAATAGCAAGCAGCTGTGGATTGTGCAGATAGTGGAGTGTGAAGCACCTTTTCAGACAGTTTTCTACTGGAGTGGCTGTTAAGCTGCACCGTTGGCTATTGATTGGCCTTTTTCTTTTTATTTATTGTGTGGGTTTATTTATTTTCTTAATGTAGGTTGGTGTATTGATTAAATCTGTTAAAAACACACTTCCCATTCAGGCTTTAGAAAAGAAAAATAAGCAAGATATGCATTACTTAGTGTACAAATGAGGGGGCAGATGTATGTATGCTAATTCTGTTTCTTGGTTCCATATATGAAGAAAAGCATTCTGCTATTATAATATGTTCACAATTTGGGTCAATTATTTATTCCTCACCTCTGTTTTCAGGTTCTGTTCATCCAGCCAATAGGTGCTATTTGAGTTGACTTGTAAGGTAGTTGTTTGTGGCTGAGAACATCCTCTATTATTTATTCACTCACTAGATATTTCT